ATAAGAGTTTTTTGCTACAATGCATACCTTTTTATTTTTAGTTTATTATAAAATATAAGAAAGGGAAATTAAAAAAAAATCTTGTGATGTTAAATGAACCGATTTATTAGAATATCTTACAATTTAATTTTTATTTTTTTGTGTTGAAATAACACTTTTTTTGAGTTTGAAATATTTCTATTAAATGTTCAACTCGTTTACAGTGTTTTTTCGTGCTTTTCAATAAAAACTAAAAATTTTAAAAGAGCGGAGGTTTTCACAATTTTTTTCTTTTCTTATTTTGTAAATTGTGACAAAACTATACCTCAGAAGTTATGATATTTTAAAGTTTGCTTATAAAAAATGTTCCGATAAATTGATTGACATTGAGTAAACTACAAAATTCGTAATATTTTTGAATTTATCAGCTATTTTCTTAATAACTTATTATCGTAGAGCACTGATTTTTTATGTATATGATAGAAAATTATTTTTTCTCCAAAGATCCCAAATACAAGAAGCTAGTGCCATAATTCTGGAGTTATTATCAAAGACCGCTCCAATGAAAATCGACCCAAATTTTGACAAAAATCTAAATATTAAAAACTCCAAAATTAATCAAAATGCACTTTAAAAAGTCTAAAAGTGCCTAATCACAAAAATTAGATCTGGTTATTTTTATACTAGTTTAATGTTTGGTGAAAATTTTTGTAAAAATTTTAATTTCTAGCGACATACGGTCATTAGCATAAAAGAGCATAAACATAAGAGAGCATAAGCATAAAAGCGCATAAGCATGAGAGCTTTTTGCTACAATGCCCTCTTATTGAATTATTACAAAATTAATTTTAGTTTTATTTGCATAGAAAACAATTTAAACGACTGTTTCAATAAACCCATATTAATAATTTTTCAGATAATACACGATTTAAAAATAAGTCATTCGTTATCTCATGCAATTATCTCATTCAATGTTTGTTGAAATAAAAAGTTTACAAACGCATTTAGTTTATTACTCTCTTTTATTAAAAGCATACTATCTAAATTATTCATGCTTTTGCTCATTAATTTACCTAGAATAAAGCAAAAAGGGTAAATTTACTGAATATAAAACATAAAAACACGTGTTATTAATACAACTAGTCGTAAATAGTGAAAAGTTATTGTGCTACTATATTTTAATACTGGCAGTAATAAAAAAACACATAAATACAAAAAAGTGCACATTTAATCAGTTTTTAATTTTGGACGAATTCCCAGTAAAATTCAAAGCAAGACAAACACCTAATCCGGGCGTCTGCGACAAGAAAACGCTTTTAGTTCCGGTAAACCCGTCTCGCAACGATCAAAAATGGCGATTTCAGCTTAAGATAACACGTTTCCAGTTTGCGGATGAAAAATAGGACTTCCATCCAACTTTTAATTCGCCGTAAAGTTAGACAGCGATCCGGCTAATGAAGGAATTTACTCGTAATGATGATGAATCGTTGAGGAATAAATAAACGTCTTTAGAGAAACAAGCTTGTTTTCGATGAGAGGTCGCGAGATCGGCTTTATTTCACCGGTGAATTATTAATTGAATTACATCGATGAAAATGAAATCATTAATTTATTAAATTGGTTGATTAAATTTTCAAACGGGGTTATTTTTATGCCTAGATAGTGGCCGATTTAATTAAAATAGGAGAGCTTTGTAGTTGATAAATTCAGCGACATCACAATTTAATTGGCTCGATGTGTAGTGTGAATAAACTATCCTTTCATGACATATTTTAATATTAATATCGTTTTTAACGCTGCGAAATTGTATTAAATTAAAGTGAAGATTATTAATGGTAACGTTTTAATGACTTGCACAGAAATAGCGCTAAAAACAATTATTTTTCGATTTGCATTAAATTAAAGGAGTATTAATATGTATATACACCTACCTTATGCTACGCCAAATGTGGCATAATTGGCGGAGGCGCCGGGATAATTAAAAACTCATCACTCGAAAAACTTTTACACATTGAGCTGCTTTATATGTTAATAATTGTGCAAATTGCATTTTAATTACTTACAAAGTAGTGCACAACTATAATATAGACAAATTTTAAAAAAAGTGGTTTTCTTCTTTTTTTAAACCTAAATTTCTGGTCAAAGACGCTTTTAACTTTAGAACTTTCAAAGTCTCATAATAGAAACTTTTTGTTTAAAGATTATTCAATATTGCCTTCAAAAATACACTAATTTAGCCTTCTTAATCCTAAAATACAATGATTTTGTAGTGTCTAAACAATGTTTAATTTTATAGAATATGCCTGTAAACAAGGTTTTATTTTTGTTTGTACATTTTCTAATGACCTAAATTATCTCAAAGTGCCAATTTACAACATTTCTTTCAGTATCAAAGTTTAAACTTAAATCAGTTATGAATCTTATATGAATCTTATGCGATTAACTTGAAGTCACTTATGTTAATTAAATTCAGTATTTTTTTTCTATTGATGTTATAAAATATGTATTTTTTTAATCGAGACAATTATTCAGTCTTTAGCTGTGTAGAAAATTAAATAATAATAATAATAATAATAACAAGAAAAACATAAAAATATTACAGTCATTAGAAAAAGTCTAGTAATAAACTCGTAAGATATTGCCAGTTCGGCTCGTATAAATTTCATCTTCGTGGAAATGGCTAACTTTCTGACTCGTTAAATAATATACTATTATGGTGATTATTGCATCATATTTCAGTGCAAAATAAAATAAAATTACTAAGTCAAAATTTTAATAAGAAAATTTTAGTAACCTATGTCTACGATGTAAACCAATTGTTTTCTTTTATGTGAAATATTTTCAAAATCTTGACTTTTCTCGCTGCATAAAGAGTGTCAATTATTGAAAATGTCATTCTGAAAAAAAATTTGCTTTTTTCTTTCTATTTTCAATCTTTAGCAAATAGTAACAATGGATTTTAAACAAATTGGTCTTGCTAAATTAAAAACAATGACATTTATGAAACTATTGCTTCTTATGTCATTACTTAATTCTTAATTTTTTTTTAATCGTTTTTTGTTATTTGATAATTGAATCGTTTGATAAAAAAATTAATTTTTATCACTGGTGGAGGTATGAGGTTTTCTTTTAAGACACTATGTATACTTATTTGTTAACTCTTTATAGGTGTCTACGAGAAACAGCGATTAAATTATTTTTGTGATTTTATATAATTTTAAAATTTCTTTAGATATGCATTAATATATTACTCAACGAGTGAGAAAATTTACCATTTCCACAAAGATAAAATGTGCGATACAAGCCAAAGGCGAGTGGAATAACTCATCTGAGTGGAAATGGCTCTTACTCACGAGTTTAATATGATACAATTTTTAGTCTTAAATAATTAAATAAATAATTTTAATAACTGTAATATTTTTTATATTTCTTTTCTTACTTTTTTCACACTTTTCAATTTTCTTTACAGTTGAAGATTGAATAACTTTTTCAAATAAAAACATTTAAAAAAAACTAATTGTTTAACATGATTAGAAAAACAGTGTTTTTCATCCCTTTTTTGGTTATTTAAAAGGTTAAAATTAAAGTCTTGAAAGATTTTTTTTAAGAATTTAAAAACTTAGTACAGATTTAATCTAAATTAAAAAACCTTTTCATGACTAGAATCAAAATTTAAAAGCTGACCCAAAATTGTAATTTCTTCTGTAACTAGTTTTTTAAATGTTGTACATCCAAACACCCTTGCCTTTTTTCTTATTTATAATTATTTTACACGTTTAGCAAAGTGGTATTACAAAATACGGTTGTTTTTTCAGTTTTCTAAACAAATTTCTTAAAACTTTTTGCAATATTAAATTTATGTCCGTTTTCTTAGATTCTCTAATTTCTGTTTTACTTCTTTTGTGTCCTGTTTTTTCAGTGTTCAATTTTAAAGACAATGATTTAATATTTTTTAAATTCTAATTTCTCTTTTACCCTGTTTTCTTAGTTTTGAATTTTAAAAACAATAATTTTTTTATTTTTAAATTCCAATTTTTGTTTTATCTTTTTTATGTCCTGTTTCTTAGTTTTGAATT